CTCGTGACAATTTTAATATTATTAAGGCGAACAACATGACTCATCTAGCAAAATTCTCCGACCGATATGGCTATTTTTAATTTTAATTTTTCCATGTGACTTACTTGTCGTAGATTCTACCTGATTACAGGTCAAATTATTCACCTAACACATACATCAGTTTTTCAGTGAACTTTGACCTACTTTCGACATACATTTGCATTCAGAGTATGAAAAATTCAGTTGTGATGCGAATTACTCACACCTAGATGATGACCGAAGTGGTCTCTTTTCGTAACAACTGCCCAAAACTGCACTGTTTTATTTGGGTTTAGATGTGCTATATTGCTAGCCGAAAGAGGTCAAAGGTAATTGTCGCTAAGTAAGGAAGATAAATCAATCAATGTCTGAAAAATTGTGGATAACTCTGCGTTATTGAGAAAGTTGACAACTAATTAGTTAAGTGATGAAAGTTGACTTGGAAATAATTGATAGGAAAGAAGAACACGGAGAATTGAGAGAGCGCAGACATAAATCAAAAATAGAACACATACGGTTTTCAAGAAATAGTTTGTAGAGATTTGATTTGTTTCAATGGATTTTGACAATGGATTGATATCAGTTAGTGAACCATGTACATCCGGGGAGTACTGAAGAGCTGTTTCGTCCTAACTTGGGACTCATCACAGTGCGCATCCCAATGACATCAATCAGTGTGTGGTCAAACTTGAAACATACGGCTTATTATACAAGAAGTCAAGAAACTGAACTGGACACTGAGACCATAATGGTGAAAGAGGCTGAGCACAAATTTCAGCCTTTTTCCTATGCATTACAAGTGCTTTACGTGCATGAAGATGTAAGCGAAATGCCTTGCTGCGACTTGACCAAAGATTATATATGACTCTGATTGACGTCTCTGATGATTGTGCATTACCAATAGTAGTATTATTGTCCAGAACTGAGTTATCCTTAGTTCATATAATACATCTTAGCTTTCGATTAATTTTGAACAAATTTTATTAAGAGCATCGGAATATATTGAACTGTCATAATTCACATACAGTTTCTATAGTATTAGTCACCTGAGAAGAATTATTTTATTTTCGTTGGTAACCTGAGAAATTTGTTAACTACACGTATGGTTTTATCGCAAAAGCTTTGATGGGGAAAATTGCTGGTTAGCGAAGTGATTCATTTTGACGAATATTCGGGAATGACAACAATTAAATCGGGTAGTCTTGCATAACAAGTCTTGCTTAAATACTTTCTCCGGGAATTCTTGAGGCGCACAATGTTGATACAAATGTTGGCACAGTTTATATAACCATTTTATATCAATCAGCTTCAGTCCAGAAGTCTAATCACTTAGTGTTGACGTCGGAATCTACTCTCGACCATCTTTTGAATTTTATTTTTCGATAACCAACCTATTGAAATGCATTCGCGTTTCCATTGACGATGAGGGATTGCATTCTCGCTCATAATGCAAGTGACTACTAATTTGATTACATGAAGTCGTCTATTAAATATCCTATTCTCCTGTCTGTAAATGAGCTTTATATTTTTTTCATCTCTGGATGTGAAACCCTCACTCCTCAAAATTTTACGCTTGCTTAGATTGCAATCTGAAAGGCTATGCTTGTATGGATAGGTGGATTTTCTTGAGTGTCCTTTTGTTTATGTGATAATTGTTAATATGAGATAGTTATCCAAAATGCATAAAATTTGAAAGGATTGAAAAATAGGGTATTCAATTTCTCGTGGTTTTCCTACACTTCTTTCTATGTTAATAATCTTCGTTTATTATATTCCCCAGGTACTTCAACAAAGCTGATTTCCATGTAGCTTACTCTTGTGAAGATAAAGAAAATAATTCTAATAGCATATTGTCTACCGCCAATCCAATACACCTCACGGAATCCAGTGAAAATCTTAGTACTTGCAAATTTTCAAAAAGCCTGCCCAGTCTTTTTACTGGGATTCCTAGTGAAAAACCAATTGACACTGAAAGTGATCCTGACCAAATGCTGTCTTCTTTTTCAAAATTCAGGCCAAATACGTTATTGGATGATACGACATTGCATCGAGAGTATTTTTCTGATGTCGAAAATGAGTATGCTGCATTATACATATCGCTGCCTGAGGTAAAACGAGGAAGTTTAAAGAAGGTGAGAAGCGATTGGGATTTCAACAGCACCGTCTCCGAATACATGCCATGTGGTCATTCTAAGAAAGGGTTGATCGATATAGTAGACTCACCAGAAAGAAACCCTCCAGTTGACAGCTGCCTTCTCTCGGGAAGCTTGTTACGGCCTGGTTATTTTGAAGATACTGAAGCCAAATACTCAACTTCAAGCGAATTCCAATCCACACCGATTTATGGCACCACTACAACAAGTACAAGCAACAATTTCAATTTTTCTACGGCTTCAATAAACTCTCTATCTCATGAAACTCCAGTGATCGTTGAGGGCCTATTGGGGGTCAGTCAAAGGGACCTATTTTCCACGCGGAATCATGAACTTACAACCTTTAGAAGAAGTCCCCAAAAGTCCGATAGGATGACTAAGGTTCAAGGACTTAAATGGCCAAAACTATGTACTTTACAGAATCTTGCTCAGCACGAAAATAAGGAATCACTTAGTCATAACAATGATCAACAGAAAGTGGTGACAAAGATTTATATTCCTCTTTCTAACCTCAGTGTGAATATTGGGCCCCTAAGTCAACTAAAACTACCTTATCCAACTGCTTCTATCAGCGCTAATGTGGGTTCACTACATGATATGGCTGCCCAGTCTTGTACACCAAGTTTCGGCATACAGAGAAAAGGAGACTATAATTCAAGTCTTCATCAAAATCATTATATGAATAGAAGAAATTTATTAACGATACAGGAATCAAGTGGTAAGTTCCTCGGAAGACAATTTGTCCTGATCAAATTAGTGTCGAAGTTCCTGTGTTGTATTAGGCCTTTCTGACACACACACACACACACTAGACAATCTACTTCTCACTGAAGAGCCTGATAGTTGAATTTGCAAATCAGTTCTGGAAACAGTTTTTGTGTAGGACAACTTGTTGATTCAACTGACTGCTTGATCAGTCAGTCACCTAGATGTCCGAGAAGGTATCTTGAAATAAGTTTCGGTGGTTCTAAATTCTTTACTATATCAACACCGAAGGAATAAAATAAGCAGTATTATGATGAAAAAGAAATTAAATAATATGATACTGTGTGAGGATCTTAGATAATTTAATTCAGCTTATGAGCGTCAAATGACATTCATGTGCTCTCAGGTAAATTGTTGAGCAGTTTCTGCATGATAAGCACAGGGAAGACGACGAGAAACAGTGTTCATCATGTAGTAAAACCATAAGTGACTATTGCATGACGAATCGCTCGCAGCCACATAAGTCAACTGATTTCACAACACTTTTGTTAGAAATTCATATCAGCTAAGCGACCACATAAAACTGTGATGCTCTGTAGAGCTTTCTAGTTCTAAGTTTGAAATGCTCACTAACTTATAGCTTTGAACGGTAACCATGGGATATATGATTCTACCGCAGTTAACGAGTGGTGAAATACTAGGTAGAAGACTTCACTCACGGGGGCTGGATTTCCAAATAACATTCGAGTCTCTAACATGAAGAGTAACAGTGTCCAGTCCTACCGGATTTCCAATATTTATTGAGTCGGCACTGTTTTATAACACAAACTCCACGTATTTTGGCCTCTAGGGATGACGATTAACACGGATAAATTGAAACTAAGCTTGGTTTTAGTAGGCTGCATTTCTTACCAATTATGATTTCTATACGAGATGCACTTTGTTTATTCTGTGGAGAGACAACTGTTTCAATGTACTACAACTTTGTCTATGCTTCTGGTCCATGTTGAAATTAACGAGATATTCTGTAATCTAGTAACACTGTGACTGCACATATTTGAATCGATTGAGGTATACTACTTTGCAAATTTTAAGTAGGCCAACAGTTTTACACAATTATGAATGTGCACTGAACGATAGTGGTAAAGATGCTTTATCATTTGTGTTTTAAGCTATCAGAAGTGAATGCACAGTTTTAACCCTAACATATCAATCTTAATGTCTACCTTGCATTCTTTATATTAGCTGTTACGCAGGTTGTGGACGCAGCGGAAGTTAGCAACACCAGTATCAGTATGGTAAGTGTAAAGTTTTGAGATGATTATGTGCTTAGGAATGTTTCAGATTAACCTGTAATCTTTTTAAAATGGAAAGCTGCATTTCCTCAATCGGTCGACTTAAGATTTTAGACTTTCGAAATGATGAAGTTTGGTTTTGGAAACTCTCTCATCTTCAATTTATTATTATATCAATGAGTTTTAAATGACTAAGGTGCTTAATATTACTCAGTCGTAAGAAAAGACGTAAACAGCGAAGAGAATTTTCTCTACGACGATTTTTTTAGTTGCCTTCCCTTCATGTGTACAAAGCAATAAGGCATCCGTTAGCAAACTACTTCACTTCAGTACACGTCTGACATATGATGATGAACTTATTAGCAATAGATTCATGTTTACGAATCGGCTTAATGATTTGACTAGGTAATAGATCGACTGTCTGGATGGCTACTTGGCTGGCATATAGTCCTAGAAATATACATCATATATAAAATCGTTTAATGTTACGCCTGATTATGCACTTTAAAAAGAGAAATGGAGAGGAAAAACCTAGATCTGTGAAAAAAGATAGTCTGACCAATGGAACAGACTGTTTACTGATTGGATAAGTCATGGTTGCAAAGGGAATTTGTTAAGGAAATAATGTGAATGGCCACACCGAGTCACACAAACACACACATATAAATACACTTTTGTCTTTGCACACATTTTCTGTCTCACTTGAAAGAACAGTAATCAAGGGAGTGTCACATTAATTAATTAGTTATCTCTGAAGTGGAATTTATTACATAATTATCCGTATCCCATTGAGGCATTTTGAGCTGTTCAAGTAAAAATAATCTGTACAATGGAAAGATTTTATCCAAATTTCTATTCTTATACGAAATCTCACTACGAACCATTGCTTTCGAGTCTATTAACAAGATCTGAACCAGAGCGTAGTGCTAAACTGCACATTGACTGTAAGGATAATGATGCCAGTGAGGAGAAACAAAATAGCTCGTGTAGTGAAAGACAAAATACGAACATGAATGAAGTCACTGAGCAACAGAATTCTTCGGCATCACCCAATATGCTTCGGCAACGAATACAAAGTGTGGATAGAACAAAAATGTCACGTAATCAACTAGCGAAATGGACGACAACAGATTCGCAAAGATGGGCTCGCGAAAATTCAGACCCTCCAGGCCGTGAAAAGTCTACTGAAGAAGAAGATCTAACTGGTTCAGTCTTCACCGGATCTGTACAGTCATTTATATTGCCATTTACTAGAATTAATGAATACTTAACACCGGGAATTAACGCTAAATATCACAACCACTCTAGAACTTTCGAAAGTGGAATCAACTATCTGAGCTTAGTTTCCCGTAATGATGTTCGATGTAACATCATTCCAAACTGTCAGCATTTTCCTGATCTAATGTCAACATCTTTAACAAAGACAAATTCACCAATAAAGCATAAGTCAAGATCACTGCGTAACCATTCACGTGAAAAAACACTACCATGTTCAAATCAAGACGATAAAACACTCATGACGTTAGATTCTAATAATGTGTTCATCAATCTAAATGAGTCCAAATTACAGATTGCGACAAATCAGAAGAGCGTACCCCGTTCTAGAAGATTACCGTCACCATGTGTTCGTATGAAAACACTAGAAACGGATACAAATTATAATGTATCTCTCGAAACAGGTCAGAACACAAGCTCCTCAAACTATGATCTTCGACCGAAGCGATTAATAGAAACAGAACGCATGGTTAGACAAGAATTAGCGTCTGCAAAACAGAAATCAGCAACTTTCAATAGTAACAATGGCATAGACAGAGAAGATCGGAAATCAGCGATGCAGAATTCACCAATACCTCTAAAAAAGTCGAGTTCTAGTGAGAGAAGACAAATAATTTCTCCAGATACAAATACACCTGTGAATGTTTCAGAAGAAAGAAATTCATTTGAAATGAGTGATAGTGAGACCGACTTATCTAGAGGATTGGAAAGAACTCGAGTCCTAAGGAATGGTGATGATTTAATCAGAACTGATGGAGATTCGAAGGTAGTTCAATTGAGTTTCAAGCGTGCGTGCAGTTAATTTGTTCCGCTATCTGTCTTTTGCCTTGTCATAATGTACTCTGTAAGACTCGAATTTTACCAATTTGGTTACAGCGGAAATTAGCAGAGGTGGATTGAATGTATGTCTAGAAATGTATTAGTGTAAACAGTTTTATAACGTGTAAGCACTGACAACGCACAATGCTCTTCATTGATAAGTCAGTTAAATATATATATGTGAATTTGTGAGGGTAGAATAAATCATGTATATTAGTCAGTGGAGAAACTATTGGAATTTTAAGCACCATTTAACTGGACTTCAAGTGGTACGTGAAATGCACGCGTCACTGTTTCTTGTAGTAAGTAGTACCATGGAAAATTTTATGAACAATTCACGGACACCTGCATGACAAAATTTGCTGCAATAATTTGTTGATTTAAAAAGTCTCTGCTTACGCCAAAAGAAATTAATTCTCTGTCCTAGAATCTGCTTCTTATACCCTTTTTCTCCAATATTCAGACACTCAGTTTATCAACAAAATTATTAGTTAGATTGGTGAAATCTTACCAGCTCTGCGTATCGAAACACAGTGCTGGTTGCACTACTACGAAAACCTAGTACTGAATGGTCACTAAGTGCTCAATATTAAGTTTTCTCTTCTATACAGGACACTATGATTCGAGATTTAAAAGATACCGTGGTAAATAAGGCGGATCGAATTGGGCAACTTAAAACGTCGGAAATTATGAAAGTTATTTTCATGAAAATATTTTTTTAAATGTTAGTGGAGGGCTAAAGGACGTCAGGACGGGAATGAAAGGTGTCGTAAAGACTGTAACAAAACCACTGTTAATACCCTCTATTTTTAGATCAAAAAACTTATTGCACTCTGAGATTGAAACAAATAGAAACCAGGTGTTAAAAATGATACCTTAATAAAACCGAATTCTGGGCATTTGGAAGTTTTGAATATTTCTAAATTTCTTTTCTCCAATAAGATTAGGTTAAAATTCAAACTATTATATAAAATTCAAATTTAGCCTGATAACCACAATGAACCCGTTTTGTGTGACCCTGATATATATTTGTAGGAGTGTCTTTTTGAGTTACTGCATCTTTCTTCCTGATATCAGGAATAATACATACCTGAACTCTCTGTGTAAAGTTTTACATAACAGTAGTGTAATTTGAAAGTAATAGCCTTTGCCTTGTTTGGTAGACTGCCAAGTGATGCTGTAGAACTGGTCTGTACTGACTACTGGTTTGACGGCAGTGAGTTAAATGATATAATGCTTTGATGAATTCACTAAACTTGGAAGTTATACTAGCCCTAATGCACTCATTGCTAACGAAACGTTAAAATGAATATAAAGAGCTATTTATCATTTTCCAACTTAAGTTATTTTTTGGTTTAGGATGAATTTCTGGCCACCATTCAAAAGGTGTATTTACCATGAAGTAGTCCATTGAGTCCAACTTTACGAGACTGTTGAAAAGAGAATTTCAAAAAGTGTTGGCAGCTTCTTATCACAGGTGTTTTGTTCATTTGTCTAGGTTAGATATAAAAACAAGATAAGAAGTAATCAGGTTAGTTGTAGAGCTTTTGGTAAGAATGGGGAGTCAGCTGATGACGTTTTAAGACTAGGAGATGGCGAGAAGTTGTGTTACATATATCGAGCCATGATCTATGAAAAATTATGTTAGCTGAAATAAGATCAGGCTATTGACTAGTCTGAATTGATCAGAACAAAACGCGTCACTAGTCCATGAAGACTGTAACTTTTGGTTTGACCCGGGTGAAGGATTGTAGATTGTCCGGCTAGGGTTCGTGTAGTGCTAAGAATCATCGGTAGGAAGCTTTCTGTGAAAAGGTCCTAAAATTGTTAATGATTCTACGTATGCACTGGCTTTGTTAACTTCGACATCATAAAAGTCGACAACAAATATTCATTCAACTATTCTCTACCATACGTTTCTGTCCACTATAGTTTTACTATCTCTCTTTTTTCTTGAATCTTATGCGAGCAAAGTTTTGTGTTGTTCAATTAGTCATTCTGCTCTTTTTTCATTTATTAATTAACTCACCCAGTCACTCATTAGATTGCCAAGCATCATATGCGCCTACTGAAATAAACACTCGATAAGTTGTTTAACTGATCGACCGTTAGATAAATAAATGAATAATACAAAAGAAATTAGGTAAATAGAAAATAAATCAGTGATACATTAAACTTTTCAGTACTCATATTCAGGTGACGTTTTCTCCGAGTCAAGAACAGAATCTTAAGGTGTTCTATTCTTAATGTCGTTATGGGAAATGTTTACCTTCCTTCAGTGTACCAGTCACAGTTGGTTTCATTACCGAATTAATTAAACTGAAAATTGGATGGAGGAGTTCATTATGAGCTGATATCAGTTAGAGAACCACTGTAAAACCTGGGAGTACTGGACATCTGTTTCGTTCTAGTTTGGGACTCTTGATCAGTACGCACCCACCGAAAAATCTCAGTATGGATCTCTGTTGTCTCTTACTATCAAGTTGTACCTGTAAAGCTTACACTCATCATAAGACCATGTATGACTTCTGGTATTGCGTTCAGATGCCTTATTATATCAGATTCGTAAAATAAGTTCTAATTACATCCGACACCGTTCTCAGGAGTTTCAAAAAGGGTAGGTAACAATAAAGTTTGAACTGAATACTATATATATATATATATATATAGTGATAAGGCACGATGATATGGAATGGCATGTGATAATACACTATAATTGAGGACGACAACGTCTAGAAGTTACCTCTTTGAAAGTTCAGTAGTATGAAACTAATAGGCAATGCATTTCTTTTATTAATTCGTATTATTATTATTTTATTCCTTCTCGTTCCCAGTGGAAAATAGGGCTTCAAGCTAGAGGCTTGAAGTTTCGGTGGCAGTGTTTATTTTTACAGGATGGAGATGCTAGCCTCATGCAGAACCTTTCCTGTTTATCAGGTTTATTACTGGCTTAGCAAGGTAAAGGAGTGTGTCGGCCGGGGATCGAACCCTGCAGCATGTCCATGGTCGGCAAGCGTCCTAACCGCTGTGTCACCAACGCACAAGGAAATGCAATATTCCATAGTTACATTAAATTCTGCCCTTAAATTTCTGACAGCTGCACATGTCCATAAGATGACAAATATATCAGAAATCTGGGTTTCGAAAACACAGTATTGAACCGTTGGAATTCAAATACTTCGACATTGACGTTATAAGACGTCTAAGCTGAAGCATAGATGACGTATCGAAGGAAGTGCGCCCAACTGAAACTTCAGGATTAGTTCTATCGTACTACGTTATGGCAGTATCTTGACAGTTATTATTTTAACAGAATATCTATCTTTATGACGAATATTCAAAACCTGTCTAGTTACCATCTTTGTTGAATGCTCAGAATAATCCTTATTCTTCTAATATTTACATTAACCGTTCATTTGATTTGGTATTTGACGTTTATAACTGTCTGCCTATTTGATTATGATTTCTTTGTCAGAACTCTGAGATACAAGAGCTTCAAGGCATTATAAATCATATACGTGAGGAAGATAGGGACAACAAGTCTTTAGCCAACTCTCCGAACAGTTTTAAACCAAGTCCAAGAAGATCGATGTCTTGTCGTACACTTCCTGATGCTATGTACCAAGGTGAGTTTGGATTCTGTGACCAACTTATTGTTCTTTATATTAATGGTATAAGAAACTTGATAAATATGTACAAAGAACATTTTAGAGAATTTTCAGACTCTTCACCTTCCGAAAAATGTCACAATGGGATTCATAAAGCTTCATTATAAATTTTAAGCTAATTATATTCCATTATTATTTAATTCGAAGCTATTAGACTTGGAAATGTAGTTCCGTTAAATGTATAAACATTTCAGAAGTGCACTCACTATTCAGGATGATTACGAGATTGAATTCACAGCCCACAGGCTGATAAATAACATGTCAGAGTATGTGACCATTGAGTTACGTGTATCAAAGCAACAATGAAATGTAGAAGTGAACTGTAAAACACCAACAGAGCATAAAATAAGACGAACCTCATGTGCAGGTCAAATCAGAAGTATAAAGGAGAAGTAATCGTAGTTAATTTCCTTCGGTGAAGCTTCACTTTTTACATCCCCCAATCCATCCATCCATCCATCTCACTTCATTTTATGCATTCAGTGCATTTGACAGGAACGTTTTCAAGCGGTTGAACTAGTCTCTGTTTACTTCAAACTTTTACAGAATAGTCAGAGAAGATTTTGGTTTAGATTCTTTGAATATTTATCGTTGCTGTGATAAGCGTATACGTCGCTGTTCTTAGAAAGTAGATGTTCAACCACAGTTAATATGCGTCTGTTGCTAAAAGCACCACAGTTCATCATGGAGACTTACACATGAAAGAGGAAAACACAGTACTTAGTTATTAAAACCTTGTATTCAACATCTTCTCTGAGTAGATCTTTCTGGAAAAGTAACCGACGTGAGTCACATGTTCTCACTATGGACCAACATGAGCTGCATACGTCTGCCCGATGTTTATTACTTACACAACCGATTTCCACCTATCATGAAGAAGCATTCCGAAATATTTTGAACCATGTGCAATAAAGAAGGCTTCAGTACTCACGAGAACACCATGGAATTAAGGGATTTAACGAGAGAGCCATGATGCATTTACAGTGCCAAACAGACTTTCACTTTGTCCATCACTTTACATTCAAATACAGATTACTGTCTAAGCATTGGAGAAATAAAAAACTAATCACTCTTATATCAATGAGCAACAAGTAATCAGTTGATGAATGGATTATTCTAAAAAAGCATAATATCTTATATTTTAATAAAACCCGTTTAATCTCTCTTCGCCTCTTCATATTTAAAACTTTCCAGACAATCAAGATGCTGTAAGCTTGAGTAGCGTTGCAAGTGACACAAGTGCCGGCAGTCAAACTATCTCCGTAGACTCAAAGAAACATGACAACTACTCCCATTCTGTTGGGAATAACACCTCAACGTTGGAAAAACATGGAGTCTATACTAAACATTCCAGATGGGTGAGTTCGAATTTCAGCTGTTTTTTATTTATACCTAGAGGCACAGATGACGATTTCCAGTTGTTTGGAAGTAAAGGACTCTCATCAACTTAAAAATATAGGAAAAAGTGTTGGGAAAATAAGCGTGTGCGTGATTCATTTGAGTTTTAAGTGTGACTCAACAAGTGGTTCTTAACAGCCAGTTTCTGCCACCAGATGAAGGAAGGAGTCTAGTTGGCTGGAGCATTTGTCTGCAAGTTATCTATGAAGTTCGGCTACACAGATGATTCAAAACATCTACAGGGAAATACAGTGTACCCTACATGACGTTTATTAACTGCAAGTGTCGCAGTCAATGGGCAAAAATTTAACTTGTCTAGAAGACGTACTCATCAGTTTGTTTTGCGTTTGAAGATAGTGTGTTTGACGTTCGAGAGTTGAAGACGTGAAAGAGATGTAGTCATTGTGATCCAAGCGTCTTCCATCTTATATTCACACTGTCAGTAAAACTGTTTGGCCTCTGATGTCTAAATTGAGTCGCTAATTTTAAGTCAATTAGGGAAGTCAACTGATGAAATAACAAAATAATAATTCAAGCATATTCTTCTAATCCTGAGGTAAGACTAATGGTGTAATAGGATCAGCAAAGTGATTGCAGGGAATTGTGAACTGGTATTACCATACTAGGATAAAGTCAACGCAAAGCTTGCTGGCATTTGTAAATTAGCCGTATTCACAACACTGAAGCTCATTAGACCCAAATGGCTGAATGATGAACTTGTTAGCTTTGACAAAAGTTCACTTAAGTTTATGATGCAAGTTGAGAATGATGTTTTGTATTTTGCCTATTATTACTGATGATGAATTCAACCAATCCTAGATCTAGAAGTTCATTATAACTGACTTCAAAACCCACAAATTGAGTCCGTATCTCTTACCCTCACACACTTTTTTAATCTTTTAACCATTTTTGTAGTTGGGCAAATCCATAGCTAAAGCGTTCAGAAGACGCACAAGGTCTACTACACAATCAATCAATTCACTGGGTACAATAAATGACACTACGATTACGAAGTGAGTTAATTTAGACTACTCAGAGTAATTGATCCTTTGACTTATTGTCATATTTTTGTATTTAAGATAGTTGGAGAAGCCTAAGTGTACACTAATATCGATCACTTAGGTGAAGTAGTTAGTCATTTTTATATAATCGGATATAAGGTTTGTCGAGAATCAATCGGTTTTCGAGTAGATTTCATTCAGAACCGACAGTCGTCTGCAGATCCATTGAAAAGGAAGTAGAATTTCATATCTGATTCTTTATGTTTTGGATCTATACAGCAGAGCCCATGCATACTTTCAGTTATTCTCCGAACCTGAATTGCTTTGTCAAAAAATCTGAATTGAACTGAATTAAGTGCAAAAGTAATTTATAGAAAGCTTTCAAGATGTAATTTGACATGCTCTGTAACTGCACACTCTATTCGCCATTTCGTTTTAAACAGACCATATTTCATAAAAGTAAACCAACATGATTTAAGCTCACGAATACAATGGTTAATGGTGCAACAAATATATAAAACACCTGTTTACTTCTATCAACTTTCTATAGCGACCAGAAAATACGAAGACATAAACGAAATTGATCTTACTCTCAGAAGGGAAATAATCGAGAAGACTTATAGCTCGAAAGGATGAATAAAGCTCCTAGAAACTGAATGCATAACCACTTTTTCTGTCTGAATACATACACATACCATCCAGTATGAATTTCGCCACTACGGAGAGTCATAAAATCGCTTGCAGAGAAGTAGCTGGCCAGTATATTCTCAGTTACACGAAGCACGGATGAGTATATCAGAGTCAGAATCGGGAAGGCACAACAGCTATCTGTTTTTCTATTACAAATTGTCCAGTAAATAAATTGCTACACATTTCAGATATTAAATCAAAGTTTATTCACAATTATCTTGACCTTAAAAAATGTATTTTATTTTCAGTATGGAGCCTAACCAAATCATCAGTCAGAAATCGAACGATGAAAATCAGTTGGATCGACTTTATCTGACAATCAGTCGATTGCAGTGTAGGATAGATCTCCTTGAAAAAAGAAACAAAAAACTACAGGAAACCGTATCGAAATATAATCCTGATGATGAACTTCTATGCAATGAATTTCGTTTGGAAAGAACCAACAGAAAAGTGTTTTTATCAGGTTTGTTTTGTTCTAATAATTGATCTTTCTTAGCACTATGCAATACTATCATAAGTTCGAGTTAATCACTTATTTCCTGGTTAATAGTTTCAAGATTCAAATCTGAACTCTTTCACTTGACACAAGTCGGCTAGATAGTATCACATGAAGAGTGCGTCTTGTTCAAAACAGAAAAGACGTTTTACAATTTCTCAAATGATGACTTTACAAAATCCCTATTTTGTGTTCTTTATCTCGGCTTCCCAGAATAACCGTCCTCAAGACATGTTTAATCCTGACCATGATAGAATTTACTTAATGTAAAGCAGACAATAATACTGTGTCTCGTAAATTATTCTACTCTAGATTTCTACTTCATCGAAATGCGCACATTCTGTCCAAATAAAACGTTATGACTCACTTTCACTTTAATCATGGGAATTCTAATGAAATGTCTAGAATGCAGCAGTGATAACACCTGAATCAGGTGTACTACAAGCTTGACTTTTATCGTCATCCCAACCTTCTGGTATTTTCTACATTCTTCTCTAATACATTTCAGTATTTAGATGACGTACTACTATAAAAAGTGTGGTCGTTATTATTAAACAAATTCATTGTTAGATCACTTAAATGATATATATATATACATCTATTAAGACATCGTTTTGTCTAGGGAACACATGTCAGCTAATACATATTGATGATCACAGAAATGATCTGTCCAACAGAGTAATGCCCAGACATACTAACGTGATACAATGAATTCTGAATCAAGGTTAAGGCATAAAACAATTTATTAGTCTACCATAGCGAACATTTTAACTTACTTTATTCTATTTATATCATTATTTCTGACATTTATTTGCATGTGCAGAAAGAAAGTGTAATTTTCTGCCTTTATTTATACATAAACTTACAGAAATGCATTGAAAAGCATCCTGATAAGTACATGTACAGTTAGAGTTCTTATTTGTGAACTTATTTTGTATGTGTGTATAAGTGAAGGCTTTTGTGCGTTTGCTGGTGAACTAATAAACATTCACAGCAGTACTATATAGGAAAAATGTGATTACACGTGGCATAATATCTTTTCCAATAAACGTATCTGTATATGTATATACAGGACATTTCAAAAATCGATTTCGCACCTGTAGATGACACTATACTAACTAAAATAAAGTTTAATTTCATAGTATCCCTCTCATTCCCTTACATTTTGAATTGAACATAGAGCTTCAGGTCTCCGGGTTTCAGTGGTGGCTTTGTTGTTTTTTTCTATTGGGTGGTGTTGTTAGCCTCACTGACAGTCTTTTCTCTATTCCTGTCCTACTGTTGGCTAATAAATTCGGTGTGTGTGTGTGTGCATGTGTCAGCCGAGAAAGAAACCGCAACCTCTGGAATGGCTGGCTAGTTCCCATAGGAGTAGATTAAGATATGGTTTTATAGTTAAATTGGGCGTTTCATAAGTGAGTCGCATCCTGAGTCAAAATATAAAAAATTAAATGAGATCATAATTCGATCAGCTTACATTATAAATAACAACCATATGGACATTCATTTTAGCTTTAATCTTGACCGTATTACGTAGAGGAAAGACATTCAGCCAGCATTTGTTAGTTAGTTAGTATTTGATTAAGATTTGTTAATGAGGAAAGGATACGGTTTTGAGAGCATAAATTATCAAAAGAATTCAAGTTAAATTATGCACATATATTATGACAACATCACATGTTCACACCAATATATTTTGGAAAATGAAATGTAAATAATTAAGTAGGCTGGCTATTAAAACTCTCGTCTAGAATTTGTTTTCTATTGAACGAATGTTCTTATCTCAAATTTTCTCACCATTATTTGCAGTTTAAGCTTCACACAGAATTTTAAGAAATTATGAATGTTGTCTTATTCCACACACTCAAGAGATGAGTATTTGAATACGAATATCACTTGTAATATACAATCAGATTTGATAATGCCAATATAAAATACATGAATCCCTTCAAATACCACAAGTCTCGTTTGAAATTGATGTCAAGTGGAACTAAAGTTGAAGATTAAGTCCCATCGAAAGCATCATTTCACGAGAAGTCAACTCAGAAAATTCTTTTTACAGCATTTGACTAATTCGAACTCATATTTATTGCTTAGGCGATAGATTAATCTAAACAAAAAAGCTCATTTTTAAGCAGATACTCCAAAATAAATAAATAAATAAATTCTACATGCAAGCCTAGCTGCATGCTTAATGTAAGTGCAAATTTCATTTTTATTGATTGACATTCTCATTGATGGATATATCGGTAATACTTCTTTCTCAACGCCTGAATGACTTAGTATATTAATACACAACTAGAGCTATTTCGGTCACTTGACAGTCATCATTGTCGTTGTTTTAATCCGTTGAATGTACAAGAAGACAGAAAGTGATCTATAACCAGTTTTATTATACTCAGTTGTCCATTGATACAAACGTCCATATTCGTCCAATAAAGCTAATTCACCCCGTGATTAATACTTAATAATCCGAGTTATTTCTTTATCTTTCATGATACATTAACTAGATTTGTCGTCTAAATTTTGCAAAAATAGTCGTTATTTTGTGCCAGTCCTTGTGAACACTGAAGAAATCATTATTGATTCAGAAACGAAAAGATCACTGAAAATAGGATGCATTGGATTACACGATGATATGACTTGGAATGAGCTGGATGAAGTACTGCAAAAACTACTTCAGGTGGGTATATGCGACTGTTAGTGCCTTTATTATGACTCATACTTCTTTCTATTTTCTGTAATTCAGAACTTTCTATAACACCGTCAAGCATTAGGCACCGCGTATCTGTGTGAATTCAAGTAGTCATTACACTGTTTTTGTATTCGTCCATCGAAAGTTAGAAGAAGGTCATGCTAAGTCTATTCGGCCAGTAATGCATCTTCACGAGAAAACGTCTAAATAACCACTGAACATAAAAGCATGGTCAAAAGTGAACAAGACTTTGAAGAAATAAATTGGAAAGGCAATAAAATTAGTGAAGCTTTTATTACTTCTCTTTGTCTACTGAAACCAGAATAGAGATGGAGAAAAATCTGTTCTGCTGTTATTATTTGAGCACAGTATGACACAAGGTGTTCTCCTCACTTTAGTGACTGTAGGTTTATGGAAGCAAGTGAAAGTTATTCTAGTCATTAGTGTGCACTAATACAAGTAAGTATTGGTTATAAATGTGTGCAATAAGAAATCAAAGTGTCAATAGCAGTGAGTACCGTCTCAAAATTGAGTGAGCTCTAGTGCCCTAACGAGGCCCTTGATTGAAAAATTCGCTCAGAAATGGTTGGATTTAGGAGAAATAAATGAAATCGCAGCATTACATATCATCATCGAGCAGAGTTTAAAATGACAGTTAATTATGTACTTCAACTTCACCGACTTTGAAAAGTCCTTCGACAGCATAGATTGTGAAGTAATTTGACAGCTTCTCCATGACCATGGAGTGCAGTGCCACAAACATTTATAAACTCCATCCAACAGCTATATGATGATTCCACATTCCATGTAATTCACAACAAAAGCTCACCGAGGCATTGGATCTCATGACATAAGAAATAGAAGGCTGCCTACCATCAATGATAATACTCATGATTTTGGTGGACTGCATCATTCAGCACACTGTGGGGAGTGATTAGATGGAATCATGTTGAACAGATAACGAGAGCCTGGAATATCTGGATTTAACAGGGGACCTATGTTTTGTGCCTAATAAACTCGAATATCCACAAACGAAAACCAACAAGATAGTAGAAGAGGCACAGAAGATAGTACTTCAAGTGAAGACTGAGAAGAAAGAGGTGATGAAGATAACCGATCACCACCACCAACAGCGAACATCAGTCACACTCATTGGGATAAGTCTAAGGGAAATTTCTCGTTTACTGCCACTTACTTGGGTGGCATAATTTCCACTGCATGGAGACGGCATGGACGAAGATGTCAAAGTCAGGATTTAGAAAGCAAAACATGCATCCATTTCTATGAAATCGGTTTAAGTATCCATAAAACTCAGCACAGCGGACAACATCCCAATTTTCAATGCTGATGTATATCCAACGCATTTGTATTTCTCCAGGACTTCGAGTGCGTCACTTAAGACATTACTCGAATCCACTGCGCACCTTCATCAACATCTACCTTTGATGGCTTGATAGTGAAAATCAGGTTCTTAGCTGGAAAGGATAAACGACGAGGAACTCTGGAGGTCAGCAGACCAATTTAGAAGCTATTGCGCAACAAAAATGCAGGAGAAAATCGAGACAGGTTGGATGCGCAGTGAGTGACATCCCATGCCATACTGGCGTCAAGTGGAATCTGAATGAAAAACGTCTGGTTGGGTCTCAGAGTGGGTCATGATGAATATCAGGAGAAGAGGAAATAGGAGATTGTAGACAATTTTGAAGTCGGTTTTTTTTTTGATTTACAGCTTGATTCCACACCGTATTTTCAGTACAAGTGTGGAATTTTCAGCATGGATATCGGTAGCCCAAATTCAGGCCGACCATAGATATCGGGTGTGCGCCGGCAGGGGATCGAACCCCGGACCATGTGCATGGTCGGCGAGAGTCCTAACCACTGTGTGATAGCAGAGGACAGAGTGCCTTGGAAACAGGCTTTTGAAGCTCAACAAATGAGTAACAAGACAATTATATCGGAGTTACAGCCAGAATATAATATGAAAACACTTTTTGTCTCTGTCGAAAATAATCCAGTTTCTACAAACCCAATGCTTGAAAGTATTTTGGGTTATCTGAAATAATTAGTCTTATACTGTTCTGTTTTCAGTAATCTCTTCAATGCATTCAGTTCACTGTAAAATCTTCGGCTTTAATTTTAATCAGACACATACTCTGAAATTAGTTATCTAGCGAAGTGTTTAATTCTAGTTTCAACTAACTCAACGATAGAAAATGAAAATTTCCATACTAAAATATCTTTATTGTGAAACCTAAATATTGTTTATTAGAATAAAAGCAACAACAAATAAAGCGCACTGACACAACATGTATGCCTACTTATTTTCGAGAGGACAGTGAATTCTAATCTCTGAAAGACTTGGTGTTAGTATACTAAAGTTTATTTAGTTTATTACTCCAGTTATGCGAACTACATAGTTAGTTATCAGTGAAATTGGAAATAATCTACTGTGTTTTTGTTATCAGTAATTAAAACAAACCAGTACCTGCTGCCCCTGTTCCACCTTCTACTGTATAAACTAAACGTAGTAGTGGTATTGGAATCAAGAGAAATACACACACACACAATAAAGAATACCTTCCAACTTTATGAATAAGAAAATTGAACTACTTTTTAGATATTGCATGAACGGTGCATCCATTATACAGTTAAATGTGTACATGTGTAGTTTTCAGTGGTTTGTGTTCATTCATTTTTATTTTTATTTAATAACCAAATATGCTGGAATATATATATACATATCTATATAATTTGACTTACTAATTGTTTAATAAAATTGTGATATGAGGCTTATAAGCAACATTCATTCTAATTGTTTATATGCCAACAGTATTGGATGATGATGATGATAATAATAAACGCTTTTGGTTAGTCCTAATGGTATGCTTGCCGATCGCCGCCGACTAGAAAGATATAACTATGACAATTCAAACATGCATGGAGGCGTTTTCTTACCGGAAGGCTTCATTCAAAAAAGTCATCGATCATTGAATTGTAAAAAAGACCTATGTAAAAAAATGATAATCGAAGTGAACTGGGTGAATGTAGAACAGGAAATGATGCTTATCCTATCAAATATCAAAATGGTGGTCTAAGTTACCTATTGAATTACCACTTTTCTGTGTAGCATCTACATATCCTTGTGATTTATATATGGCCAAAATAAGTTCACTTTCAACAGTTTGAAAAAATTTGGGCAATGGGCATATGATATTGATCATAATAAAGGTTTTTTGTATTTCTCAAGGAATGAAAAACAAAACGATACTGTTGTTTTTACTAACGTTTCGCTATTTAATGCTGCTAATAGCTTTATCGAAGTATTATTAAATCAGAATTTACAAAATTTCATCATATATATAACAACTTAATCACCGTTCCTCAGTATGGGGTCACTTTTCGTTGTCGAATTGGCCAATTGGTAAAGATAACAAAACTAGGTGTAGATTGTTGGATTTGATGATGAGTGCATCAAATTATAAAAGCAGCGTGTGTTTACATGATGAAGTCGCTTATCAGATTCTTGGGGGAAGGGATGTTGTCACCAGGTCAAATTCTGTTTCAGTCCACCATTCCCATTCAGAAAATTTGGATTCCACTTGATATTAAACGTTCTTTGTGATTTCTGAAATTTTTCTGGGTTATTTCAATATTGTCAGAATAAAATTTTTGGCCTGATTCGATAGCATGTATACCTATGGCTGATAATTTTTCGGGCTTTTCTAGTTCAACTGGATTTTTGTGGTCGAACAGATGCTCTACGATGTTCATTTCTTCTGATTTTGATATCTCAAGGTGTTTTTCCGATGTATATTGCATCACACTCCAAGCATTTTATTTTATAGACACAATTAGATACAGAATCTTTGGGAATTTGGTCTTTTATATGGACAAGGTTGCTTTGAAGTGTGTCTGATATTTTGAAGAAAATTCTGATGTCGTACTTATTGATTACTCTTCTGACATCGTCTGTCGTCTCCGCTCTATGTGGAGTGACAGCTGTTGAGGCCCATATTTTCGGAATACTTTTGCGACCATACTTAATGTGAGTGTTGATTTTGTTGATTATCTTTGGGTAGTTATTTTGTTTGAGAGTCTCAGTAATACTGGATATTTCATTCATTGACAGATGCAAAAGAAACTTTACTATCCTTGTAATTGTTGATGGAAATTGGTTTTACCAGAGATCACATGCATTCTACACTATCTTCATCCGCCTGGTTGCTTAGTTTGTCTTATTTCTGTTTGGTCTTCTCCTATTGCCTTGTAGTATCATGTCACAATTGCTATTATTTATTTGTTATGCACTTATTGCATAACCTCATATACAACTTGTGAAAACAACTACTTACCGATGATATTAAACTAAGGTTGTAGAGTACCACGGATTGATAGCAATCAAAGAAATATATCAGTTACTAGATTTTGACTTACTTACTGATGAACAGCTGCCCACTGACCAACGGTTAACACTTTTCTGAGACTGATTTGTGTTAGTGACCACGTCTACTTCAATATTATGAAGAGTATTAAGTCTATGTGTTTATCAACAATTAATCGATGTACATCAAATCTATTCCCGAGTAGTAAGGTTCTCAATGTGCGGTTTCCTATTCTTCACTGTTTAACACTGTAGACTAGGATACAGTAACTGTCACGGTTATCTGATTCTCAGTTGTTTTACATATTCTAGAAACGCTATTACCGAACTGTTCAATTCTGGATGAAGCATTTCACTTACAGTTAGATGCAAATTCACTCTTGACCACCGCCACTAAAGTCATCCAGAATTTCAAGTATTCATATTATTTTTAACTCTGTTAAGCATTAGCCCTTCAAATTATTGTCTTTATTTCCATATAGTGTTACATCAGTTACTTGGATCCTAGTGAACATCTGCAACTTAATTCACTGGAACTAAGGGCGTATCAGCTAAATTCAATTTACAAATATCCAGATATAAAGAAAACAGAGAGCATTGTGCGACGTTTCTCACGAATACTACCACTACCATCGCCACAACCGTTATTTACAACAAATCAGAATCATTCCCAACTGCCTGTTGCAGCTACGCTGGAAACTAGCTGTCATATAAACAGACAAATTTATTCACAGTTCCCTGTTATGTGGTTGAATGAAATTACTAAAGGGTATGATTTGGAGCTATTCACCTTATCTATAGAAATAGATTTACAAGGTCGTACTATGAACTCAACATTGAAAAGAAAGAATAAAAAGGTACACCAAAATGTTACTGAGAAAATTGACATGCTGAACTATGGATGTTATACAAGTCTAGTACCATATAATACACTGAAGTCCTACTTATCTGTCATCGAAGCAAATAATTTCATTATAATCTGTGGACTGACTGGAACCGGGAAATCGCATCTGGTGAATAATCTGGCCAAAATTTTATCACATGAGTAAGTGAACTTCATGAATTGAGATTATTTTACATGAAGTTTTGTATTATTTTTCCATGAATTATACGGAAAATAATGGCGTCCAGGCGACCACCAAAACTTCTACTCGTACTGATAATAAAAAGGTAAAATCTAATGAAGTTATTTCAGTATTAACAGCACCAAGCCTTAGATGATCACCAGTTGTCGAAGTGTGTCATTTTTGACAGGATAAACCTAAGCATGATAGTTCATTCAGAGGCGAATCTGTCGAATGAAGAAATCCCCAGGTATTTGCAATATCGACTGAAGAACCTGTCGGTTAAACACTTAAATATAACAGCTGAACAAAAGTCAACTCAACTTCCATCACCTAACAGTCGACTACACCATAGAGCCGAATACGATAATACAAGATCGTTGACAAGGATCTAAATTTGGAATGTAGTATTAAGATCTGCTTAACTGATCGGTCCCATTAGTCTATGGCTAATTCCGAAATTGCTAGTCTATGTTTTACCAAAAATAAAAACATTATTTCAGTATATCGATAAACATCCGTCAACCAAAGTTGCGGGAAATGTAATACAATGCAGTTTCAACCAGGGTTTTTGTTCAATAATACCGTGGTATATGATTCATTGATAATATTATTATTATTTTCAAATTGTTTTTATCTCGCCTAACTAGTTTAAATCTTCATACTATCATGGCTAACCAGAAAAATCTTTGTCCTTCTGAAAAATGTACCACAAAAATACATTTTTTTGTCAAAAATATAAAAAATGAATCACCCTGATTTTAGCTTCAAAGTGAATATTAACTTTTAAGACAACCATATTAAGTAACGTTTACAGCTTTTACTTAAAAAGTAGCACTAGTAATAAGTAACATTTTGTCATCAGTTTTATGATAACTGTGATGAACATTGTGAAATTTCAGTTGAATTAGTCATTCAGCGTCATTTTTTGAAAACATTTGCTAGTTGCAATTTAGTTAGTCGTAGGTTTTCAATGACCGTACTTTAAAATATCTTAACTTGAAGATTTGAAAGTATATTTAAATGTACATTTGTGTAGATTATAATGTCACAGACTAAATAAAAATGTCTACATCAGAAACTAAACAATAAAGAAATCGAAAATAAAGCAATTAGCAATTACAACAGAAGTAATTTTGATTACAAATCACATCTATATCAGTGTGTCAGATTGTTGATAACACACAAAGAATCCTATCAGTATATATTGGGATGAAGTTTTCAATTAACTGACTTTATTTAACAGTCTCTTTCATATTTAATAATGAGACTATCTGGGATCGACAGACTACGAACGATCTGATGGATGAACATTAAAGGTGAAATGGAAATCTTGGTCGCCGCAGAATTCGAACTAATCGATTGTAAACTACTGTGGTCCCACCCTGTATATTTTACTGGGCCAGTTAATTGGTCTCATTCCGAATAAATCTTTATACATTTTTAACTAACAATAAGATTTACTCTTTTATCTAAGCATAAGTTCATAGTTCAGTTTACATTATCGAAATACATGCTCACTTTTAATTCTCTCTTGGTTATTGGTAATTCCCTTTCAAACTTCTTCACTGAAAGTGAGTAGCTGGAAACTTCGTTTATTGTGCAGGCTTGTCCTTATTATTTCTTCCACCGTAGTTTTCTGTTTTCAACCAAAAAAATATCTGAATACGCCTAATTATTTCTACTCCACACAAAGTGCAAGCAAGACTTACTAAGTAAATTAATCATTTCTATATCTGTGATGGAATAACAATCAGCACCTTTAATCTCAACACGAAATCTATGTGCACGGAATCATTCTTATGGCCGTAACGAGTTGACAAACTATCATCAACAAAAAGCTTTTTGTCCTCCCACTGTTAATTGTCGGTTAAGACAATGACAGGAGCTTAGACCAGAAGAATTTCAGTTCATGAAGTTTTATTTTGGTTTAAACAACACTTTCTGCGTCCAAAACTCATTTAAATAGAGAGAAAGTATGATTATCATAAAAAGGGAATTAATAAGATAGATCCCAAATAAGCAAAAATGTGGGATAGCATATAACTCAGAAAAAAAATTACATGCCTACTGAGTAGAATGGCTTGGACTTGCAAAACACGAAATGATTAAACCGTACTCGATAATTTTAGTCATCATCACAACTTTCTTTGTCATCTGATCCACCTCGTTCATTTACTCGATACTTTAAATATAACAGCTCACTTTGTGTAAGAAAGAACTATCATCTTTTGTAAAATAAGAATTCGAAAAACGATTCTACTCGCTGAAGATAAACATTCCCGTTGTTTTTGAAAACATTAATATCTATCACCTCACTGTAAGCATCTCAACACAACTCGAATGGACGAAATGTTGAAAAAGTGTGGTGGGTTTAAAAATATAAATATTAGGCCTTCCTTCTTATGTATATGGTGAAGTAAATGTTATGACCTGTGGATAAGCATAAAAGTGTTAAGTCAAGCTATTTCTGCATGTTTATAAAAGTGCATTACATAATTCATGAAAAACAACATCACAGTGCTAAGACATCTGCGACCCTTGACATCACCAGTGTCTTGGAAGTAATGCTTTATCTATCCTTTTGTTTTAGACTATTTAAATACTCACCGATTTCTGTTGTGTTAATCCCTTTCTAGTTCGTGTTATTCAAAGGCAATATACAACTTCCGGTTTACAAATAACAAAAGTCCAACTGTAAAAGAAATGAAAAAGATACTCAGAAAACAGTTATCATCCTTTTCGAAATGTGGTTTCCCCAAAGTGATAAACTTATTTGATATGCATCTCTTCCGAGGATCTGTTATGGATATTTTTAATGTTTTTAATACCTCATCAAAAAGGTAAGCCATGTTACATATATTTGTGTAAGATAGACTGAAGAAACTCACCAATCAGTGTCTTTATCAGATTAATTAACTTCATTTTCATGTAACTTAGGATGAAGGGATAATAGGAGCACGTTTTGTGCATATCGAGATACCAATCTTCGTGAGACCTTTGTAAAGACTCAAGGAATCATTAGTGCCGGACTTTATATAGTTATGCATAAATTTAGATTATCGGTCATCATAATATCCGAGGTAGGTCACTCCAGAACCATACATACAACACGACGAAAACTTCAACATCGACAATCGAATGTTGCGATGATACATGTATGAAAAATAAGCCACGTATAAAAAGGAAATACTTTACGTCCATGATTCAGAAGGAGATTAGTTATTTCTGTCAGTATTACTTAGTCACGATTGTATTCCTCAAGTGTCAAACAGTCAAATTTTGCTGTTATGATTGGTCTTTAGGAGAAACAGATCAAAGCAACAACAAATTTCTTCGTCTTCTCAGTTTAACCTCCATGCAATCTAAGACAGCGTATGCTATCACTTGAGCGTTAGCCTATCAACTAGGTATAGCGTCATGTTCCAAGTTAAAGATGATATCTAGGATGGGTTGTATATGTGTAGACTAACCATGATATTTCATGTTCCTTCGCAGTAAATGTTACTCACAATCTCGTAAACGAAAAATCTGCTTCTCTCGGAATGAGGTTTAGGTAAATAGCCATTGAACTTTCTCTGTAGTGATTGAATTGGAGTTCATGACTCAGTTGTCGTTCTAAATATGATACTTGTAGCGCGACAAAGAATGCAAATAAAATTTTCTAAGTGATACTTCCTCTCTGCATTTCTAATGTTACAACAGCAAAGAGATAGAGAATGTATAAATAAACTTACCTGCTAAATCAAACAGCTATTCCCTAATTGCTACAAATTAATTTGGTTTATACACTGACTATCAGTCTCTTAAAAAAGGCGATTTTCCACGTGAATTCTAAGTCTATTAATTTAGCACGTAGAAAGACAAACAACTGACAACACAATGGCTGAAATGACTGGGAAATATTCACTTATAGACACCTTCAGGACTTTCAGTGTAACATAAGCTACAGAACTAGTAATTAATTTAGTTAATTTAAAGCAGATCATATAGACGTTAGAGATTTAACACATCTGACTTCTATCAGTTGTATTTTGATAAAATTTTGGCTGCATTGATTTGCTGATTACTACCAGTTACATTAGTGCAGTTGCTTATTTTGAAATTTCAGCTGGAAATGTAATGTTGTGATTTTGAGGATTTAATTTCATCAGTGTACACCCATAACGGCATCATTGTTCACACCAAGCACGCTTAGGTTATGAGTCAAGCATGTTTACTATTCAGTCACTGGG